GGGGGGAGGACCCAGGGCCAGAGGGAAGCCAAACAGGGCAGGGAGGTGCGACTGGACTGGGCCACAGATGCCACTTAATGGCAGAGCCGCTTTGGTCCAGGGTGAGGGAAAGCTGCAGGACCTCCAGGCGGGAGCCTCCAGGAGAGCTGTGGAGCGGGGGCTCACCCCCAGCCTGGACCTCTGACGGTTACCCTGCTCCCACTCTCAGCACCAAAGGGGTGGGGAGAGCAGCAGCCCCGACACTTCAGATCCCCTGAGAGCGCCTCTTGCCTCAGACAGATGAAGCAAGGCCAGATGAAGGACAGAGAGGTAGACAGGAGGACAGGCAGGGGTGGGACAGATGGAACCATGATGGACAAGAGGCAGACAGGGAGGCCCGTAGACATGGGACAGGACCCTCCCCAGCTGCCCTGCTCACCGAGCTGCCGCGATGGGCGACTTCTTAGAAGGGTCCAGCAGGCCGCCCAGACCACCAGCCGGCTCCTCCCCCAGGGAGCGTGTGTCTTTGTTCAGCTGCTGCAGGCGGGAGCTGAGCTCACTGATCACAGTTGGTTTGTCATCTTCGGGCCCGGGGAGCCCCCGGCTCTCCATGGGGTCCCCCCACAGCTTGGACCTTCTCTGGAAGAGGTAGCGAGGGCGAGCAGGCCCAGCGGCAGAGGCCAGCCCGGCGGAGGCGGCATGGTGCTGCTGGGCCATGAGCTCACTGTCCGAGGACTGCTTCAGCAGAGGGTCCCTGAAGGTCACCGGCCCCTTCCCCAGCGGGGACTTGAGCTTGGGCTTGGGAGGCACTGGTGGCTTCTCGAGTAGAAAAGTGTGTCCATCAGCGAAGGAGGTGTGGGTGTCAGTGAGCTCCCCGCTCTCGGAGCTCAGGGTGGACATGCTGGACACTGTGGAGATGGTGCTCGTGGTCTCCAGGTGGGGGTCGCTGGAACTGCGCGTGTCCACCTCCTCCACTCCCGAGTCAGCTGCAGACTCAGGGGCGGGGGGCAGCTCACTACTCGCCTTCCCTGAGGCCGGGCCTGGCACCGTGGCGGGTGAGGGAACTGGGCCAGGCAGTGTGGTGGTCAGAAGGAGCCCGTTGGCAAACTCTTCGGGGGGTGGCACCAGCCCAATGCGAGCCAGTTCCTCTCTGGTCTCCTCGTCGCTAGAGGACAGCTGGGCGGGAGGCAGGTTCACAGTAAAGACCAGCTCTGGCTCCTCCTCCGAGCTGCCCTGGCCGGGCCCAGGTTCTTTTGGGGCGCTGCCAGGGGGCTGCGCCCGTGGGCTGGGCAGGGGCTCTGCCACCACGGCTGACTGTGTGGGTGCAGGGGCCA